TAGATACAGAGAGAGAGGGGGAGAGAGGGAGGGAGACGTAGAGAGGGAGGGAGAGAGAGAGAGAGAGAGAGAGAGAAATGATAGATACAGTGAACAACCGGTTCTCTGTGTGGATGCCACTTCCAGGAGTCCATTCTGGGCCTGGGCAACAAAAAACTAGCTACCAGTTCTGTCGAAGGGGTGTGAACTGCCTGAATCCCACCACTGGTTGTAAGTCAAGGACTACAATTATACCTAGTGGTTGCCTTCCAGATGTTGCTGAACTACATCTCCCAGCATCCTCTGCTATCGGTCGTGCAGGCTAGGATTACTAAGAGCAATTGGTCTGCCAGGTCCGAAGGCCACAAGCTCCTTTGGACCCAAATACTTGCTTTCCAGGCCTTTCGAGCAGGTCTATGACAACTCGCCATGGCTAACTCACAGTGGAACAACCCGCCACAGGACAAGTGTGACCTTAATATCAAGGAAATGGTGGAATAGAATCATTAAAGAGGGGATGCCAAAGGAGGGACCAAAATGAAGCATGAATGACAAAAATTAAAATGTTCTTAAAAATTATTTTAAACAATTAAATTGAATTGTTGAATTGTCCCATGGTGGCCATGGAGAGTTGGCCCCAGCAAGTTGTCCTATTCCCTTTAGAGCAGGGGTCTCCAAACTTGGTAACTTTAAGACCTGTAGACTTCAACTCCCACAATTCCTCAGCCACCATGACCGGCTATGGAATTCTGGGAGCTGAAGTCCACAGATCCTAAAATTACCAAGGTTGGACCTCCTTCTAAAACGTTCGCCATGCTGGCTGGGGAATTCTGGGAGCTGAAGTGCACAAGTCTTAAGGTTGCCAAATTTGGAGACCCCTGCTTTTAGAGAGGCATTCTTCCCAGACATACCTGGTCTCCCTCCAAATCCTTGTCCTCCCTGGTAGAGTGCTTACTTTTAATTATTCCATCAGCAACCTGCTTCAAGTGAGATTTCTTGGCAAAGTAGCATTAATCTGCAGTAAATCGTTTGGACGACGGACCAGCCAAGTTTCCTACCCGTTTGAACCAATGGAATCACCTTAGTAAACCAAAACATAATTTTATTTTATTTTTTTGTATCTGCTGGTGCTGCAGTGGTCTGGCAGAAATCTCTGGCTGGCGATTCTTCAAGAAAACATAAGGATACAAATAGTCCTTGACTTAACAACCATATTTTAAAGAAGAGGCTAGACAGTCATTTGTCTGGGATGGTATAGGTTCTCCTGCTTAAGCGGGGGACTGGACTAGAAGACCTCCATGGTCCCTTCCAGCTTCTATTCTATTCTATTCTATTCTATTCTATTCTATTCTACTCTACTCTACTCTACTCTACTCTACTCTACTCTAC